TCGCCGGGCGTGTTGTCTTGGATGACGACACCGTGGTGTTCGGCTAGTACCAATGCGAACATTGGTTCTTCCAGTCGCCATAACTGAAGGAGTTTGGACCCACTGACTATATGCAACGCGGTAGGTTTTGAAGTCTCCCCCTTATTAGAATTCCGCTCCACAGAACTAGGTAGCAGCCTCAGTCTTCGACCCTTCCAATCAAGAGAATAACTGTTGGCACGACAATCGTACATTGCTCCGGCATCGAATTGCCATCGCCTCCCCAATATCAGATGACACACGTCCATTTCGACGACATCACACACGACTTCGCACATGTATTGCTTTCCGATAGAAAAAGTGACACGGCATGATTCCGAAACTGCAATTTCAACTCCCCGTTTGACCCAGCTGATCTTGTAGGGGTTTGAATTTTTGAAGATCTTCAATTGTAAGCTTTGAACAACTGAGCGGGAAATCACATTCTCTGTGCATCCGCTGTCTACCAGAAGATCACATACCTTCCCATTAATTGTGCAGCGTGTCCGGAATAGAGCGTGCCGCTGCGAGTTTAGGCTTATTCTAGGAGCTAATAATAGCCTTTCCATCACATCAATTATCGGTTCTCCTTCATCGGCATAGACATCTTCGGCTTCGTCCTCATCGGCTGATTCAACCACCCGAGATCCGCTTCCCTCTTCTGCTTCCGCCAATTGCACTTGTTGTCTTTGAGGGCATTCATTCGATTTGTGTCCTTGCTGAAAACAACTGAAGCATTAAATAGTAGAGGGCTTAATATAAGGATTGTCCTTACCTTGAATCCTTAGTTTTGGATGGCCTCTTATGTCTGGTGACTGGCTAACACCAGTCGGACTCGCAGACTGTGCTCCAGCATTCGGAACTTGCTTAGTCGCCGTGGTTGTGGTCTTGTTGGGTCCTGATTGTGCTTCCTACCAATGTTTGCGGTTATACGGAGTCTTGTAAGAGCGGCTTTGTTGCATTTCCGCCTTCATAGCGAAATTGACTGCCTGCGATATGGACCATACTGAATTTAACTCCAACTTATCTTGAATGCTGTCTTTGAGACCCCCAATATACCTGGCGACCAATTGATTGCTGGATTCATTTAGATTATTTCTTGCACTCAACCGATTAAATTCTTCAGTATATTCACTGACTGATCTTGCTCCTTGTGTGCAATCTTGGTATCTCATGTACAGAATTTGTTCATAATCGGTAGGCAAAAATTGAGAACGAAGCAGTTGCTTTAGTCGGCCCCAACTCCTCACTGAGCCTTTGCCTTCTCTTAGCCTCATCTGAGTGATTTGCGCCCACCACGCACTGGCTCCCCCTTTCAATCTACACGCAACGTACTTCACGCGTTTGGCCGGATAAATTTTCATATAATCAAAGAAATTTTATACGGCCTTCTCCCAGTCGAGGTAGTCCTCGATGTGCAGGTGACCATAAAAAAAGAGAATATCTAGTTTAACCTTGAATTCACTGTGGTGAGCTGTTCTCGGTTGCTGTTGTCCATAGGCATTTGGTATATACGGATGTCCTGTATCTTACTCTTCCGATTCTATCGCAAAGGCTCCTCGATGCAGAATCTCCTCCTCATCGGAATCGGACGACGCCATGACTGTTTGTGGTGTTCTCCACTGCCGATCTATACCCATTCCTCTCCGCCTCTGTGGACGCAGGGCGGCCGGAATCTCTCCGTGGCCCCGCGGTGGTGGTTGTCTCGCCCTTCCGAGATTGAACTCACGGCGAAAATCAACTGCCAGCTGCCGCACTTCGGCGGTCAGCTCGTCAATCCTCCGATTGACATTCTCCTGGTTTGCCCATAACGAATCGAGAGTTCTCGATTCCTCTGATACTGGTTCTTTGCCCCGATCTGCCATTCTTTCCTCAGGTTACTAGGCTCTGATACCACTCTAATGCCGCCGGATCTACAGTTAACTGGAGACAAGAAAAGCATACAAGTAATAGAACAGTAAAGAGACACTGAATTGCAGTGCTCTGGTTTTCCTGTATTCTTCAAAAGGAAGATGTTAACAAAAACTACATTCTCTGTAAGCCAAATTCCCTATATTCTGACTACTCAAACGGAATTACTAAAAACAAGGAAAATACCCATTGGTTGGAAAATAAGTAGTGCTGTACTATTTAACTAAATAAGCAAATAAGGTCAGGGAACGTATCAGGCCGTTAGGAGTGGAGATAAGCTGAACCGCAGGTGCTCCCTTGCAATCCGTTGCATCAGATTGCAGCAGAAACGCCTTGCTACTATTGCTGGCGGCTGAAGCAATTGACTGGCAGCAATTTGGCGGTAAGACAACAGAAAGATTGTTGGACTTATTGAACTTAACGGTGGACTGCAGCTAAATATCCCACGGAGGCTGTAGGGAGGGAGGTGGTGTTGTGCAAACAATCACAATGGAAAAAAAAAAAAAAAAGAAATCACACAAAAATAATCATATAGAAGACGGTGATTTATGTGGTTTGACGAAGATGCCTACGTCCATGGGGAGGGGATGATGATTTTACTATATTGGAGAACAATAGGAATTACAATAACTCTCAAGCTTTCTCTATTATCTTCATACGTACAATACAATAACCCTCCAGTCCTATTTAAAGATTTGAAAGTTGAAACAAACACAATAAGGAAAACCTAATCAATAAGAAATCTAATCTTGTCATAATTTTATCTCCTAATAAATTCTTTCCTAATTAATACATAAATTCAATCTCCTATTAATGCAATAATTAGATCCCCTAATTAATGCATCATTCAAATTTTCAATCAAATTAATTTAATTAGGAAAATAATTAACTCCCTAATCAAATAAATAATGATCCATTATAGCTTTTCAAAATTAAGCTTATTTGTATTTGGAAATAATTCCAAATCGACAATCTCTACCTTATCTTTCACTTCAGAAAGTGAAAGATGACAAACCAGGCTCGAATATCAGAACGACTACATCTAGATGGTTACCTACATACATCCCCTCCCAAGGGATCAAGCAGAGCGTAGTTCTTCAAACAAGTGGAACATCAATCATGAGTCCTGCACCACTGCCATGGTGATTGTCTCTCCTAGCATGTATTGTACTCTTTAGATACCTCGGGATATTCTTCACAGCTTGCCAATAACTGCTTCCTCTATACTATATGAACCTACTCACAACGACAACTGCTTGTGCAATGTCTGGATCGAGCTGTTCCAAAATCAGACCAAACTGTGCTACAGGTGCCAAGTGACCACGGGTTGAGGGATTTTTAACCACTGGGGAGAATACCTCATCATAAGGAATCCCTTCTCAATGTGCAGAGCCTTTTGCTACCAACCTAGTCTTGTATTGCACATCAACTCCATGAGATCCTTCTTTCTATGCATCCATTTGCACCCTATGACTTTTCTTCCTGGAGGAAGCTTCACCAACGTAGCATCCTTTTGAAGAGACCCCATCTCTTCATCCATAGCCCTCTTCTATAGATCACCATAAGGACTATTCACTGCTTCCTTATTGACAAGGAAATTCAGCCTCCGTGACTACAAGTGCAAATGTAATGTGATCCCTCAACCAAGTTCGCTTTGGGATATTCTGGCACCTAGTCCTATTCCTCGCAATAGTCTTCTGAACAGAAATCTCATCCTCAACATCATCTTCTACCTCCTGATCTGTAGCTAAATCAGTTACCTGAGTTGAAGTGAACTGTCTCTGTGGAGTAAATGGAGTTGTTTAATTAATCATGCTCGTAGATAAAAATTAAAGGATAGCCTTTTGGCTTCACCATAATTTTAGGGTTTTATATTAGGATATGTTTGTTATTCACAATGCTCTTAAAATTTATTGTTAGTTTTCCCTCCTATATGAAGGGAAATGATGGTCTGAGATTTCAACATAAACTAAGTTTAATTTGTATGCGTTCTATAGTATCTCTTTCTTTCTCTTTTGAAAGTTGTGTCCTAGGTTTCCAACTTGTTTGTAGTCGTAATGCAATGGATAAATATTTTTCCTTACAAATGACATTACCATCTAATGTTGGAAAATAGATAAAACCTAATTCAAACATAGAGAGAGAAAAAGAACCAAGCATAAAAAAATAAAAAAAAACCAAAGAATTTTATAGAGGTTTATCCAATTGATAGCTATGGCATGTTCTTACCATTGTAGATTTTACTATGATTGGTTGTGGAGAACTACAATCCTAATTCCCTAATGTAATGTAAATATAACACTTCCTTTCTATAAAAAAATTAGATATCCAAAAATAGAAAATTGTTTCTAAAATGCCTATCATAAAATAACTCTCAAATATTTAATGTCTTTTAGGGGCTACGCCCTTGAATCCTTAAGATAGGGGCTCCTTATCCCATTTCAACCCTCATGACAACCTTAACATGTTGGTCAACTTGTGACTAAGGCTTTGTTTGAGACGGCTTTCTTTCTGCTTTTTAAAGCAGCTTGTTAGTGCAAAAATTTTAATTTTTGTATTAAGAAGTTGCTTTAAAAAGTATTAAAAAAGTCATCCCAAATGAAGCCTAAGTCTGCACAACTCACTTTTCTTTGTAGGACAAAAATTAGGGTCCACAACTTAGCATCTTGATGCCCTTCCGAAGCAAATGGTGCCATAGTCTGGAGGCTTGTCTGCATGACATTACAGTGACTACAAGCTAATGTAGATGAAGTGAAAGTGAGAATGTCTGCTAAATTAGAGCAAACATAGGAATGGATCCAATGCATAGCATTACAACGACCAAAGCACAAAAGAATGATCTTTTCAGTTTCTCTGTTTTTTTTTTCTCCATCTCCCTTGTTTCTCCATGTTTCGATTCATGTTCCTTTTATTCTTATTTTTCATTGTGAAGAACAACTTCCTCTAAAATCTTCCTCCCTTAGTGGTTTCTTCATTGACTACCTAGCCTTTATTAGTTCTTTTGTGGTGGGATTAAGCCTGTGAAATTTCGACTTGACTTTTTAACCATGAAATCGTTTTTTTTTTGGTAGATTGTTCGATTCTATGTCTACCCTTGCACTCCCACCCTTCTGCACCTTTAAAGGTGGCATAAAGAGCCCTTCATCACTCGCTTCTTTGAAGAACATCTCTAAATCATTTGGTCTGAAGTCCTCGTGCTGCTTCCGCACTGCTGCAATGGCTGTATACAAGATCAAGCTCATCACTCCAGAAGGTGAGGAAACAGAGTTTGAAGCTCCAGATAGTGCCTACATCCTGGACTCTGCAGAGACGGTGGCCAATATTGAGCTTCCATATTCATGTCGTGCCGGCGCCTGCTCCTCCTGTGCAGGCCAAATTGTCTCAGGCTCTGTTGATCAATCAGATGGATCCTTCCTTGATGATTCACAGATGGAGAAAGGATACGTCCTGACCTGCGTTGCCTACCCCACTTCTGACTGCGTTATCCAAACCCACAAGGAATCAGAGCTTTATTAGCTAGCTTTTTTGTGCGTTTGATCCTGCTTTGAAGTGTTAAATTGCTATTAACTTTTGGGTTTAATTTCTTATAAAACACTTGGAATATGTTGAAAAATATGATACTGTGAATGGCTCTTTCTGGAAGCAGGATAATGATGGGAAAAATATGTGATTCACATTGCTTGATCTCATCATAAAGCTTCTTGCTTGTTCGTAGTTCACTAATTAGATGTAAATTGATATCTTCAATTAGGAGATGTATTTCTAAGAAAAATTATTTTGTGCGGACGGTGAATGATATCTGTAGGCCAATCAGAATGTGTCATGTCATACTTTCTCTCAATACTGCTTGGTGCTACGGCTCGATATCGCTGATATGGTTGCACCTGATTCGCCTCTGGATCTAGTGTTACGTCCAGCGTCCGCACAAAGTAATCGCTCGTCTTCTACAGCATGATGGATACCTGATCATTTCTCATAATTAAGATTGCAATAATTTCTAGCACTGATTAGTCGAGCTTTATTGCCTTATTTTTGTCTCTTTCTTTTTCAGTATTTGAAGTCTAGATGCTGATTGTTGCCTCCACTAAAAGTTGCTTGAGCAAGAGATCATTTTTCCAAATATTCATTTGTTAACTTACGAATTAATTATTTTATTTATACTAAACAAATTTATTTTCTAAAAGTAAAAAAAAAAATCTAAATAGGCTCTAATTATCTCTAAGACTTTTATTAGGTGTAAACACTTGATCGATTTGAATGATTTGATTTGTCAGTTTGTTAAATCAGTTGATTTCATTATAAATTCAACAAAATAGAAATCGTTAAACTAGTTTTTAAATTAAGGTAAACGAAACAGAATTTTTGTATGATTAGTTTGATTGGATTTTAAATAAATAAAAAATAAATATATTAATTTAAATAACATATATTAATAAATACTAAATAATATTTATTAAAATTAATAATTTTAATATATGAAATAAATAATATTCAGATGAATATTTATATTATTTAGTATTAAAAATAATATAAATTATCATTTGATTTGATTAATTTTATTAAAATAAATCAAATAAATATAAAAAAATTAAAAATTTTAAAAATCTAATCAATAATTAAGTTAGTATTTTAAGTTTTCAACTATAAATAAAATTAAATAAAATTAATTAAAATTAATTAAAATTTTAAAATTTATCCTACCCATCCGATTTATTTTGGAAATTAATATAGCGCGAAAACTAGGAGGCAGCCAGGGCACGAGGACACAAGCTTCTACTAGCCTATTTGCGCGACTCACGAAAAATTTCCCCGTGAATAGATCCGAGAGAGAGAGAGAGATGCTTGCGGTGGGGAAGCCGGTTGCGATCCTTCGCCGTCCGAGCGACCAGCCCGGAATCCCCAGACGATCACTGGGAAAGATATTGGCCGGGTTGGAAAGAGGCGTAAATACTCGCAAGACTCAGACGGCTCTGGAGACCCGGATATCTCTCGTCCTAGCCCTCGCATCTCAGGCCTTTTCCCAAACCCAGCGAGGTACTCTCAAACGATATCAACAGTGATTTCTCTGTAAAAAGTGCGAAATCTTGCTTCATTTCGTTTTTCATCGTTTCCTACTTTTGGAGTTCGCTACAGTATTAGGTGATTTGGCGGCCGAAACTGCCAAATATGTGATTCCACGGAGATTTGAACCCCGTAATTTCGAGGAAGCTTTAATGGCAGGTAACTCTTCAGTTCCTGTTTTGTGTAGTTTGAGATTGAAATGAATGATTGGAAAATGGTTTTACATGGAAGTTGAGTATGAAGCGAGTTGTTATAAACGATGAGGGCTGCATAATCTTTCCACCAGAAGGCGCTTATATTTTCTTAAATAAATCAATGTAGTTTATGATATTTGATACTTTATTTATGGGCCTGATGGGAGCCGAAGCTCAATAAATTGAATTCATAGAGAAATGTTCATACACAAAATACACAAAAAGGGGCTATTATAACAAATTACAAATAAACAACATGTGGCACCATGCCAAAAAGCCAATCAATGCCCAGGAGACAAAGAAGCAAAACTAAAGGGCGGAAGGTGGGGACTTATCAATGAACCGACATTATGTTCGATTAGGAGTCCAGTGAGGTTCAGCACCATCCACTACAGATAACTCAAACTAATCACATAGCTAAAAAGAGCTATCCAGAGCGGGGAGTAGGAAATGGATGGGTAGTGAAAGGAAAAGCTAAAACAGTCATCACAGTAGGCAAAAAAAAAAAAACCCTTAGCAAAAACCCACCGTCCATCCATTTCTTGAATTCCTCCGTGAAAGGCACTCATAGAAAATAGGCTGATGCAAAAAAAAAATTAAAACTTAATCTCGGATATATAGAAGAATGTTATCCATAGAGGTAGCAAAACCATTCAACCAGGACAAAATACATGTAGCAGCAAATGTTGCCCCAAACAACCTAGTATTGGAGAGAGAACCATCTATCATAGGAGTAATAATTACGCCAGGTCACCGGACGCAACCAGAGACCAATAATCACGCGCAACGTCACCTGGAGCTCGGTACCGAGCACTTGGTATTGCTCGGTATACGTCCGAATTTCCAATTTTTTATCCGGACGTAATAATTATTCCTATCATAGGCACCATAATAGCGAGGTGGAAGAGAAGCAGAAGCTTAAGAGGCCATCAAATATTGCAAAAAAGCATTGATGTTAGGGGGCAAGTTTTCATAAATAAGCTCAAACATAACTGAATTTTTTTTTTGTTCATATCCAAATTGCAAAGACATTATGGTCAATGAGTAGTGAGACATGAGCTCGGAGGGATATTCAGTGATACCGGTGGTGGTAGACTAACTGTGCTAGTATACCCATTTCATTTCGCCGAAGCATCCCTACATCGCTATCTCAGTCGCCACAGTCTTTATTCGAGAGGTAATACGCCTTCAAGGCATTGCAGAATCGATACTATTAGATAGAGAGAAGACATTCCTCCGTCATTTTTGAATGAAGTTATTCAAGATGCAAGGGACTGTCCTGAAAAGGAGCACAACATATCACCGATAGACTAACGATTATACAAAAGTAGTCAACAAGAGCGTGGAGACATACTTATGCTGTTTTGTGTTCAATACATCAAAACTATGGTTCAAATTGTTAGCATGGACAAAGTATTGATATAACACATCTTTCCACACAACCGCACGAATAACCCCTTTTAAGCTTTTCTATGGGAGGGATCAACCTCACTTTGTACATAACGGGCATAGTCCTACATTAGTATCCAGTGTCGACTAGTACTTGGAGAAGAGAGATAGAATACTAGCAGAACTAAAAGGACATCTGCTGAGAGCTCAACAACATATAAAGAGAAAAGTAGATGAACATAGAAGGGAAGTGTATTTCGAGCATGCAAACAATTTATTTGAAGCTGGGACCATACCAATAGAGGAAGACCAAGAGGAAGAATGAGAAGCTATTGTCGTGTTACTTCGGGCCTTATGAAGTGACAGAGCGTATAGGGGCAGTAGCCTATCGTCTAAAGTTCCCAAGATTATCAACAATTCACCCAGTATTTCATATATCACAACTGAGACATACCATCGAAGATCACATACCCTCTTCTCCCTACCAGCGACATTGACTAAAGACGTGGAAGTGATTTTGAAACCCATGGAGATCATTGAAGCACAACAAGAGACAATAGGAGCAAAGGAGATCCTAGTTCGTTGGAAGGATCTACCTGATTATGAGGCTACATGAGAGCCATATGAGATAATCAGAAGGTAGCTCTCATCCTTTCGCCTTGAGGACAAGATGCATTTTTGGAGGGGAGTATTGATATGATAGGAGCGGGCTTGCCAATCCAGCAGGAAGGGGCCAGACCTGGAGCAAATATTTCTACTCCCATTGTGTGGCCCAACAACATTAAATTTCATTATGAGAGAAAGAGGAATAAAGAGGAAATTAGGGAAGTAAAGAATTAGAATTTGAAATTCAATTGGAGGAAAATTAATTATGGAAAGGAGGGCTATTTGGGGGAGTTTAATTGGGATTACCTATATTGTTTTTGGATTATGTTTGATTTGATTTCGGCTGTAGTTGGTCTTTGAGGACTTCCTAGCAGCGTCTAGGTGGTTTGGAAGAGCCAACTTACCTCTCTAATTGTAGATCATTGTATCTTGTTTTAGTGTTGAGTATTAATCCCAAAATCAACCACCGTTTCTCAATTTTTTGCAGTTTTTCTTCTGTTTTCTCATTGATTTTGCTTCCAAGGCATATCATATTAATTGTTATATTTTTTTTTGGCATTTTGGAAGTTCCGGATCTTGAGACGGTCAATTTTCGGGTTGTTAAACAAACAGATCAATATGTGATCAGAGAAGTGGAGGTATCTTCCATTCTATTTTGTTAATAATTTTATTTTTGTTAGTTTTTTGCAGTTAAGAATTGACGAGCACCACCACCAATTCTTTGTTTGAACTTCTACTTAATACCAGTTCTTAGATTAAGAAGTCAGCGCACAAGGGCTTGCATATTGCGGGTTTCAATTTAGAGTATCTAAAAACACTTTGGTAGCTCTTTTGCAAAAAACTATTTATCATGATGTCATTAGTACTTTTATTTCAGGAAAATTCATTATCATCTTTTAAGAACTAACAACATTCAGTTCATATTCGACTTGAGTTTATCCTTACATATTATTTAGTATATTGCTTCTTGCTTATAAAATATATATCATTGCTTGCAGCAGCTTTCCGTACTTGTAAATCTTCTAACTCTTAATGTTTGATTACCTTACTGAGCGATTTATTTTCATAACAGCCTTACTGTGTTGCTGAAACAGACATGCCTGGGAAGAATGGTTTTGACTTCAATGGTGCTTCTCAAGCATTCAATGTGTTGGCTGCATATCTATTTGGTAAGGTATAAAAATGCTGCTTCGTATTCAATCCTCAAGGTGGTCCTTTAAGGTTGTGTTTGGTTATGGGGAATTAAGGTGAAAGAAAATATTGTTTACGTCATTATTACATCTTGGCTTTTTGGTTTGTGTTTAATTCATAGGAAATTGATTTTACTCCGGAAATTAGACATGTATAAACCTAGTGAAAAGCTGAAGTAAAGCGGAACCTGAATCGCTTTAGGTTGCGTCCATCTTTTAATTTATTAGATATTCATTAATACCAAACACAAAGGAGAACTTACTCTTCCACTTAATTTCTCTTCAACCGAATAAGTGCGTGAAGAAAAATTTCAGCTTAAATCCCATGCCATCATTTCCTCTCTTGCAATTCCGACAAACCAATCAAAGCAATAGGGTTTCTTATACGGGTGTCTATTTGGATTGGCAAGTGTGGTTCAGGTCTGACCGATGTTGACCCGACTCGAATGTACTTGACCCATTTTCAACCCATTTATTATATAGATTATGCAATTTTTTATTAAATATCAACACAACCTGTTTAACTCGAAAGAAACTCGTTTAACTCAAACCAGAATGTTAATCGGGTTAATTTTGGATAAACCCAACAAAAAAATTAATCAAGTCAAGATTTCAAACCCAAACCTAAGGGTGTCAAAATGGGGTTTCAGGTTGGGTTCTGATCCAACCCAAAATTGACCTCGTAGGGTCAAGGTAGGCCGTAGGCAAGCCGCGAGAGTAACACGGTGCCGACGGTACTACAAGACATGCGGGGCTGCACACGGGTCATTTCCAAATCATTTTTGAGCTATGTTGCACCGATACACTTATTTATGAAGGCGTGCTGTATCAGATACGTGTAGGACACGATATGCGTCCAATACGGTACCAATACGTGTCAGATACGTCAAAGCCATATCCAATTAAAATACTATTTAATTTCAAAAGGACACAGCGTATCAGATACACGTGTCTGTTGAAAGACGAAAAAAATCCTAAAAAAGACGCATCATATTTACTTTCGCGGATGTGAGCGAGGTTCTCTCATTTTCGAACCCGCTAGCCATTTACATTGATGTTAGTTTACTAGAAAATATGATATTAGGGCATCACTTATTTTGCATTTGTAATGCTTTGATTTTTTATTCATCTATTAAAAAAAATCATGTTATTGTGGTTTGTATGTCTTCTTAAATGGAAATAAAAGGAAGTTTAGCTCTCATATGTTATTCAATAAACATGCCACCAAATCATGCAACAACATAATTAGTGGAATAATGCCACAAAATTCTTATTAGGCAATGAGTTTTAACTCTTCCCTCGACTCAATGCTTACTTTTCTTTTGATATTATAAGCTACAAGGCTACAAATGATGTTGCTTTCATTTTTTTTGTCATTTCAAATATTATGCTATGATTGCTTTCTTAATTTTTATGTATGATTTATAAATTATAATGACGCGTCCGCGTCGTACCTGTATCATGTATTTTTAAGAATTGACGTGTCCTGTATCTGTATTGTGTCGTATCTGTGTTGTAGCATCCGTATCGATGTAACATAGTTTTTGAGTTAGCGGGTTGACCCGGACATAACCCTATTTTTCAAATGGGTTAGGAATTATAACACGAACACGACCCATTTATTAAATGAGTCGTCCAAAAACTTGATTTTTCGGGTCAGATTTTTAGATCGTGTAAAAAATTGATACCCCTACCCAAACCCATCCCGAATAATAAGCTAGTCAACCTGATTTTAGATTTTTTTTAGTTGGGTTTGAGGCGGATTTTTGAATTGGTTTATTTATTGACACCTCTTGCTTCTTAGTATAGTAATATCAAGAAAGATCTAATATTTGTCATAAGAAATAAAAGTATCCAGCAATGATGAAACAGTTTGCACGGAACCACATTGTGATTGAGGTGATTGGCAGAACACAAACCATGATAGAGATATCATGAGAGAAAAAAAGGCCATAATTTGAGCAATGAGGCTTTATGTATTGGATCATATCATTACATATCTAGTAGGAGCTAAACCTAAAAAAGGGTGTTGTATTTAGGACATGAAGTTAGGGAAATTGAAGATGATGTATCAAGTCTTGTTTCGGAGTAGTCATGAGAAATTGATTTTAAGATCAACTACATGGGATAGAGGAATAAAAAGCAACAATTGCAATTGAAAAGATCATATCATTGACAATATTCATAAGGCTTATGAGAATCAGAGTAAACCAAAGTAATCCAAACTAAGCTTGGCCAATGAACGATACGAACCACCGAGCCCCAGAGATGTGAAAAATGCATTCCTGCATTGGGATTTGGAAGAAGAGATATTTATGGAAATACCACCAGGGTTTAAGGAAAAATTTGGAGGCAACAAGGTGTGCAGATTAAAAAAGGTTCTATATGGGCTCAAACAATCACCAAGGGACTGATTCAGAAGATTCTCAAAATTTACGCTTCTTAATGGGTATAAACAAAGTCAAGGGGATCATACACTATTCATCCACATATACCAGTAGTATGGTAATTTCTCCAGAGTCTGAGTGTTTAACTGGGAATAATGAAAAAGAGAAAGTGAGTCTAAGGAAAATCCTTACCAAGGAATTTGATATCAAAGAACTTGATAGGCTAAAATACTTCCTTGGAATTGAAGTAGCTTACTCCAGTAAGAAAATCTTTATCTCATAACAAAAATACATTAAAAATCTTTTAGAGGAGACAAGAAAACTAGCATGCAAGCCATCACCAACACCAGTAGAACCAAATCTCAAATTGGGGGAAGTTAAAGAAGATCGGATGTAGACAAAGGTTCTTACCATAGATTAGTGGAAAATTGATCTACTTTTCCCATATCAGACCAAATATAGCATTTGTTGTAAGTTTAGTCAGTCAATTTATGAAAAAAAAAAATAACACGCATGCAAGTAGTATACAAAACACTACACTAACTTAAGGGAAACCCAAGGAAACATATTCTCTTAGAGAGATCAAGGAATGACTCTAGAAGCATACACTGACGCTGATTATGCAGGATCGCCAATAGACAGAAGATCTACTTCAGGATATTGCACATTTCTTGGAGGGAACCTAGTTTCATGGAGAAGCAAGAAATAAAATGTGGTGGCAAGATCAAGTGCAGAGGCAGAATAGAAAGCTATGGTCTTGGGAATATGTGAGTTACTCTGGATCAAAATGATTTTAGAAGACCTAAAGATCAATTGGGAATATCCCATGAAGCTACATTATGACAACAAATTAGTAATCAATATAGCCGACAATTCAGTCCAGTATGACATGACCAAACACATAGAAGTAGATAAACACTTTATTAAAGAAAAGTTAGACAATGATCTCATATGTATCAACCATGTGTCATCTAAAGATCAACTTGCATATTTCCTCACCAAGGGATTGGACAACTCTATCATTCTCAGAATGATTGACAAGCTGGGAATGACAGATCTGTATTCTCCAGCTTGAGGGGGAGTGTTAAATCTCAGCCCTTAGTTCCCTCATACATCCAATGACTATGAATTAAGATCCACGGGAGGCCTTCTAGAAATACTTTGAGCACCTTCCATAGCTAGACATCTGATTTATGAAGGATTTTATTTCAACAATTATTAATGATTATGTAGTTATTTGTTTCTTCATTAGACCTCTTGTATAGATCTATAAATAGGGAGTATGTTGTATAATAAAGTTATGCTTTCCCCTCTCATACCTCTCAAATCAACATATATTATATATGCATGATGACGAGGGAGATTATCCTCATTCATGTAAGAGCTCACTTCCATGAGGGAAAAGATAAAGCTATATTTTTCATCCAAAATGGTCCATCATAAGTGGAGCAGTGCAGTGGTTCTGCATTGCATTAGAATGAGGTCATCGCTTGTACAAAAAAATAGTTGAGTCTCTTGGGCGTAGAATAACACTGTTGGATTCGGTTCATGTGATTTATGTGTGTGTTTACGCATTCTGATGGGCATCTCCGTTTAGGTTATCGTAGGAAAAACTGATTCCTAGCCTTTTGCTATGCAGAATACTTTGAGCGAACAAATGGAAATGACTACTCCTGTTTATACTCGTAAGGTTCGATCAGATGGAGAGAAAATGGACATGACAACACCTGTAATAACCAAGCAGGCAAGTTCCCATATGCATTAGCTATTAGTTTGTATTTTGCTGCATTATCTACAGAGTACTGCCCTGTTTTTCCCTCTGGCAAGTAGAAACTGATTGATTTGCGATATTGTTCAGTCAGGTGAGAAGTGGCAGATGTCATTTGTGATGCCCCGCAAGTATGGTTCTAATTTGCCATTACCTAAAGATCCTTCTGTAACCATCAAGCAGGTTCCTGGTAAAACGGTTGCAGTTACCGCTTTTCCTGGTTCGTTGTCTCATTGAACTACAATCATTTTATCCATTAAAATTGCAATGCTCTGATAGAAACCGATAATATAGTTCATAATAATTTTTCAAAAGATTTTTTAGTTGATAAAACGCTCTTGAGGGGTACTGAATAAGTGAAAAGTATCCTCTTAATTAATATACTTCAAGCATGTTGATTTTGTTATCTTAGGTAAACGTTTTTGTCATTTTTGGTCAACTATATTTTAATCTTTTTAGAACCATTAAATTTTAACTTCTGAATCATTTACGCTGAGCATAGTATGTTCCACTTCAATAGGTTTTGTGACTGATGAAGATGTGAAACGTCGGGAATCCAAGTTACGTGATGCTCTTAATAATGATGCTGAATTCCAAGTTAAAAGAGACGCAATGGTAGAAGTAGCGCAGGTAATGCTCGGATCTTAGTTTTGTTCATTTTATTAGATTCTCCCAAATTCTGACTTGAACTTCTTGTTCACACTATCCTGAAGTTTAACCCTCCATTCACACTTCCTTTTACACGCCGCAATGAAATATCATTGGAAGTTGAAAGAAGAACAATATAGCTGTCTGACCACTACTACAATGGGAACCTGTACGTAAACTCTAATTTTATCTCATACGGAACCTATCATTTTGTAAAAAAAAAAATTTTAATTACAGAAACAGCATGCTTTTAGAGGAAGTTTGTATATTTGATGTTCTTCTGTCGATAACGTATAGATTAATGTATTATAGAATATTTGATTGGCTTCTTTATATGTCTTTTTGTAGTTGAGTTTTGATGTTGGCATTACTAATCCCTGTTGTAGCCTCGTTCCACGTGGTACCGAAAACCACTAAATAAAGTTAATTGTTTAAAGTAGTTTCTTGTTACTTTCACGAGCTTCCTTCTAAGACTAGTCATTTTCATCCAACCACTTGATGCGGTTAGCGCATGATTCTCCTTTTTAACACCATGTAGAAAAGACCCAAAATATTAGCAACAAATTCCAATGCTCTTACAAACCCGACTAGCTGGTACCCACAATTATCACACGGTTCTCCAATTGATTGGTAATTTAGCCCATATGCTTCTCCATTTCTTCCAACATATTTGGCAATAATAATTGCAATTTTTCATTGTCATCATTATTAGCCTTATCTTAATAATTGCAATAGTATAATACCTCTATTTTTTCACTAGAATTTTAACCTAAAGTTTGCTCTTTCAGAGTTAAATGTCTTCTTTGTTTTGTCTACCCTTAAAAGGTCACCACAAGCTCTTTTTATCAGTTGGCAAGTTCCCAAAATTGCAGTGGACTATACAAACTGGGAAAATTTACTTCACATCCACTTAGACAAGCAATGGACCATATTATCCATAATTGTACTTGCCTAGTTGATAAAAAGATCTAGAAATTATCTTAAATTTACTTAATGACCTCAGTGACAATAGGGATTAAGAAAGTGGTAAGCTGTTCTGGTTGCATCACAGGGTCTATTTTCAAGAGCTTGTCACTTCCACTTTTAACATAATTTATCAAGTTTCTTGATGTTGTCACCTTGTTTAGTTTTGATAATTTCATCATCATGGTGAGTTTCTTAGTCTTTGTTTTCATTGTTTATCTCTCTTAAACTTTTTTATTAATTATAACTAGAGCACTAAGTCTAATCATGTATAAACATGAAGGATGTCGGATATAAATAAGCAAAGCATAAGGTCAATTAAAGATCAAATTTCATGTAACTAGTTAATAGTTAATTTAAAGTGAGCTTTTTTCCACTTATATTTTCATTTCTTTACCCTCAAATTCCTAACATCCAAGCAAAATCTTAAGTTCAGTAAGCTTTTTCAAACTGATTAATGAAAGAACTTCCCAGTCCAGGGTTGCTCTCTTTGACATTTTTCTTGAACAAAAATAACAAATATAATCATTTGATTAGTCACACGGCCTGATAATTTTTTTTCATTACTTATATTTTTGTACTTATATGGATCTTAAGGCAGTGACAAATTTGAGACGAACATCATCATGCCAAAATCTTATAGCTTCATTTGGGAAGGTTTTCTTACTGCTTCTTAAAGCAGTTTTTTAACATATAAATTTTAATTTTTATACTAAAAAACTGTTTTAACAAGTAGTAAGAAAATTGTCTCAAACAAAGCTTTAGTCTATTGAATAGAAGTGTCGTCTTCTTCCGCCTCTGTCTACCTCGTGTGCCTAAATGGCACAAGAAATGATAACCTTGTGAACCACAAACAAACAGTAGATTCCAAAATTGACAGAACCTAAATAAGTACAATTAAGTGACCTTTGGGTGATAAATTCCCTCAGCATTGGCGCATAAGCAAGTTAAAGAAAGTTTAATTGTTATAATTGCAGATATGCAAAACTAAATTTAGTTGTCAACATCAGCAATTGGTCATGTAGGTAACTCAATAGAGCTTATGTCTGTCCCTCTATCCCTGTAAACATCCATCTTCATCTACACTACTAAAATGCTTATGTGATAGATTGGGCCAAAGAGGATAATTTGCATGGGAGCTAGATCTTCAGCACAATGTGTGGTTTGGGGATGAAATAGTCATCTTGAATTTGAAGCAGCCAGACTAATCATTGGGGTTAATGTCTAATTAAGAAATAACTTCGTTTTTTTTTTCGGATGAAATGCTTCTAAGAGAAAAATTGTCTGGGAATGAATTAAATTCCTCATCAAATAGTGAGATAAAGTCTTTTGGGATGTAAAAGTAAAAGAGTTAGATCAAATATGCATATCATCTTTTGATGTAGTAGGTGGAGTTTCTACAATTGTGTCCGAGTGGGGGCACTATCAGCATAGGAAACTTCCGGGGACTTTACATCAAGAATGTAAAATTTTGAGGTTTTGTTTGGTATAAGTCAAGTTGAGCCAAAGTGAATAATATCTCGTATAATATGTGCTAATTTAAAAAAAAAATAACCAGGAGCTTCTTAACCATAGCCCATCAAGAACATTTAAATCATAACACATGGCATTTAAAAACCTATATCAAATGTTTCATTAATTCATCTCCAATTCACAATTTATACAAAAAAGGAATTGTCTAAATATCATAGTATTTTAAAAGTTTTAGGGGGGGCAATTGCCTAAAAACCCTTATAATAAAAATTAAAAAACCTAAAAAACTATACAATAAAAAAAAAATTATTTTTTTAATGGGGGGCAATTGCCCCCCCTCACCCAAAGGTGGTTCCGCCCTTGATTGGGATGTAAAAGTAAAAGAGTTAGATCAAATATGCATGTCATCTTTTGATGTTAGGTGGAGTTTCTTTGGAAGTACAATTGTGTCCAAGTGGGAGCACTATCAGCATAGGAAAATTCCGGGGACTTTACATCATGAAGGTAAAATTGTGATGTTTTGCTTGGAATGAGCCAAGTTGACCCAAAGTGAATGATATGTCGTATAATATATGCTAATTTAAAAATAAAATAAAAAACCAGGAGCATCTTAAACATATCCCATCATGAACATTTAAATCATAACACATGGCATTTAAAAACCTATTTCAAATGTTTGATTAATTCATCTCCAATTCACAATTTATGCAAAAAATGAAGATGATTAGTCGTTTGGAAGACAAAATATTAAATTTGATAACATTTTGCACTATAATTTGAAGATATGTGTGCTCATAAGATTTTGATTTTTTTATAAAATGCAAAACAAGACAAAAAATGAAGACAGTTACAGTAGTTTTGAAGATGAAAAATAAAATTTGAAGTTATTTATATGTGTGAAGACTCATGGATTAATCGTAAAAATTGAAGGTACGGGAGCTATGTTGCATCGATACACCTATTTATGAAGGCATGTTGTATCTGGTACACCGATACACTGATACACCTCTGACACGACATCGATACGTGCTGGATATGGCAAAGTTGTATCCAATTAAAATACTATTTAATTTCAAAAGGACATGCGTATCTGATACGCGTGTCCATTGAAAAACAAAAAAAAATAAAAAAAAATGTTATATTTACTTCCGCGACTGCGAGCGAGGTTCTCTCATTTTCGAGATGGATTTGAGTCTCTTGATGATATGAGAATATTAGAAATTGTTAATCTTTCACCTGATGAAATGACAAACCACTGAAGAAGTTAATCATATCATTCCTTTTATTGAATAGTTGAAACTTCATGTGCTAGACAATTTATGTTTATGCTTTTGTTGTTGTACTAGACATTTAATACTTACTTTTATTTTGATATTATAAGCTACAA